GATTATCACTTTCATCCCTACATAAAAATTTTTTAGAGGTTTTAACTAATGCAATAAGAAGTGAAACTATCAGTGTAGATATTAGATCGGTTTATCTCTATTTCAGATAAAAATCCAAAGGATTTTCTTAAAAATTACTAAAATTTAAAGAAAACTTGGCAGATGGCTAGAAAAAAATCAAGTACAAAAATCTATAGACATTCTTTGGGTTGGTTGGAAGAGTTTAAAAATGGAAAGAGACTTATTTAAAGTAGTAATCAAAGAAATTTAATAAGCAAGTTATTTCCTATTTGAAAAAAATTAAAAATATTATTGGAGGACATTATGTAAAGTCTAACTAAGCTAATATATACATATAATGTGTGTTCTGGGTGAATTAGTGTTATAAAAATATTAAATTTCATAAATATATTATCTCAATCAGAATTTTCATTCACTGGAATGAGCTAAAATGAAGTAAAATTTTATATCAGAGTATTACTGTCTTAAATTAGCTATGCCAATTTGGAAAAGAAGAGTCTAGAGTATTTGGTTTATCAGATATTAACTGCTACCATAATTCAGTAATTTGTTTGAGATAGTCTAATTGCTATAACCAGCATCCCTCAAATTTTAGCAGCCAACACAATTCATACTCTTGTAACAGGTGTTGAGGGCGGAAGGCTCTTTTCCAGCTATCAGTCAGGGGACTGAAGCTGAACCAGTAATTTGACAAGGGAAATTTAAATTGGATATCTGTTAACTAGGGGCATCAACTATTAAGGTGTAGAAAGACCTCTAAAGATTAGAGGAATACAGATCTGAGGGGCAGTTATTACCTACAAGGGCTAAGGCAGAGTATCAAAGGAAGGAATAAACTGGGGAGAGCCTCCCCTTACCATCCCCAAGACTGAACTCTTTAGAGACGTGGCTGTGGCCCATTGAAAGATCTGTGGAGGTGAAACAGGCTGGGGCTGGCAAGCAGACCCTGCCCACTGTGCTGGCAAATAGATCAATTTCAAAATTGAAAATATATGTATTAATTGACTCTTTGAAAATCTAGCTTATAATAAGAAATAAAAGTTCCATATGTAAAGGTATCTATATAAGGTTATTTATTGCAGAATTCTTTTGTAGTTATTTAAAAACACATGTGTAAGCAAGGTACACCATGAATGTTCAAGTTGAATCAGTTGTGGTATATTATATTAAAGAATATAATTCTATAATTTAAAATGAATTAGATCTACATTTTATGAACTAGAATATTTGTAAATGTGTTAAATGAGAAATGTGACAGATTTGGTACAATTCCATTTTTTTGTGCAAAAAAAGAAAACTCCAAACAAACTAAGAATCCTATATACATGCATGCTTGTATATATTCATATGACCCAGGACTAAACTGTTAACACTGGCTACCCAAGGTGGGGGTAGAAGGAGCAGAAGGAAAACAATTAACTCTTTGTGCATCTTGTTTCATTAGATACCATCAGCATGTATTTCTTTTCTAAGATAATAAAGTGTGAAGTAAAAGAGTAACTTTATCTGTGTTACACATCAAATAAAGAAATGTCAAAGGTCTGGAAATCCAGACAAGTTGCCTTTTCCAAAATGTAGACAGACACAAATTTGAACTAGTCACTTTGCTTGCCTATACTTTGTCTTAACAACACCTCTTCACCTGCCTATCTTTGAACATGTGCAAGAGAGAACTGATCTTAACAGTTGGATGACATTGCAAACATAGTACCATTTGGGTGATAACTGTTTTTAGCTGAAAGAATGTGATAACTGTCTTTAGCTGAAAGAATGTGTCAGTATATTTATACTGAAAGTGTGGGGAGGCCGTTTGGATATGGCAGTATAAATTTCCCTATATCCAGTGTGTAATATTCAGATTATACTAATATTTAGTTATTATATATACATATGTACATATATATGAATCACAAAATATTTGGCACATGAAAAGAAGTAGGAAGATAAAGTTTAATAATTAAAAACACAAAAGATAATATGTTTGCTTGGAATGATCAGTGCATCTCATACATTTCCCCTAAAATGATTCTAGAGCAAAATGAACACATACATATTGAAATGGGGAGAAATTCAGCATAAAGGGCTCCCTTCATGTATGGCATTTCTCTGAAGTTTCATTATTTCTGTATTTTAAAGTTCATGTAAATTTTTCATTCTATTCCATATTCAAGTTTGCTTTTTAAATTTAAAGTTTTAAATCATATACAAGTAAATCACTTCATTCATCTCTGATTCCACCCCCTCACTGTTTCAGTCAGTTAAGATATTCAGGAAAATGCAGAATGCTTATCTTGTGACTTTAAATAGCCTAGAATAAATGATTCAGTGCCCCTAAAAGCAAATGTATCTCTTCTCAAAGCAAGAAATACCTGACACCAGGGGACCACCAAATAAAGAAGGAGATAATCTGCTTTCTCTCTGAGACTGTACTCTTGGAGATGTTCCTTAAGGTATAGGAGACAACCGTCTCCTAGATTGCATTTGTAACAGACTGCCTAGATGCCCACCAGTCTCCTTTCCTCTTCCAGGCAGATGGTACTATATTTAGCATCCTCCTTTGCAAATAGATTGAAACCATGAGATCAGGTTCCTGTCAATGAAATGTTTCTCAAAGTGTCGAACTCCATTTCCAAGCCTTGCCACCAATATCCTGCATGATATTCCTCACTTTCAACATTTTTGCTGGTTGAATTCAGAGGAGCTTGTGGTCAACTCTGAGGAAGATGCAGTAGAAGTGGTACAATGAGACAAAAGGAACCAGGATTCTGAATGACCATGTAAAAGGATGCCAAGTGAATACCTGTCTTGTATTAAGCCACTGAGATTACCCCGATATATACATGTATATATACAGTCCTAAAATATAATTTTAAAGATAAAGAAACTGAGAAGAATAAGTACTTGTTCAGTTTTTTATAGCTAAGAACTAGAATTTGAATTTAGTTCTTTCTGATTCTTATGTAACTGCCGCAGGAAAATAGGCTACTAATGGGATTTCAAGTGTGAGCAAGGACTCTTTTCATATTTAAATTTGCTGTTAGGAATACTCATTGGGAAATTTGGTTTGTGTACTGGGACCAGCTTTTAAAAGAGTGGTGCTATTTTATAGGTATGGTTGAATTTTCTTATCATGCTTCCATATATTGATTAAAACTATCTTCTGGCTAGAATAAGCTAGATTTTTAAAATTGTGGTAAAATATGCATAGCATCAAATCTACTATTTTGACCACCTTTAAGTATACAGTTTAGTGGCATTGAGTACATTTACATTGTTCTGCAACCACCTCCCTGTTCATCCAGACCTTTTTTCTTCTCAAACTGAATTCCTTACCCATTAAATAATAACTACCCACTTCTCTTCCCTAGTCCCTGGCGACCACCATTCTACTTTCTGTCTCTATAAATTTGACTTCTCTGGATACCTCGTCTATGTGATATCATAGAGTATGTGTCCTTTTTCAATTGGTTTATTTCACTTAGTGTAATGTCCTCAAGATTTACCCATTTTTAGTCTTGTGCCAGAATTTCCTTCCTCTTTAAGGCTGTATAATATTCCATTGTATGTATATACACCACATTTTGTTTATCTTTTCATCTACTGGTTGACATTTGACTTGTTTTCACCTTTTGGCTAATGTGAATGCTTTGAACGTGGATGGACAAATACCTGTTCAAATAGCTGCTTTTAATTCTTTTGAGTACATGCCCAGAAGCAGATCATATGGCATTTCTATTTTTAATTTTTTGAGGAATTTCCACTTTGTTTTCCGTAGCAGCTGCACCATTTCACATTCTGACCTGCAGTGCATAAGAGCTCCAATTTCTCCATCTCCTTGCCAACATTTGTTATTGTTTGTTTGTTTGTTTGGATAATAGCTATCTTGTTGAGTGAAATGGTATCTATTGTGGTTTTGATTTGCATTTTTCATCTTGAGCACTGATGTAGAGATGTTGAGAATCTTTTCATGTGTTTATTGATCATTTGTATGTCTTCTCTGAAGAAACATCTAAGTCTTTGGGCCATTTTTTAATTGGGTTATTTGTTGTTTGGTTGTTGAGTCATAGGAGTTCATGATAAATTCTGGATATGAACTCCTTATATATGTTTTGCAAATATTTTCTTCATTCAGTGTGCTTCTTTTTTATGATGCTGAAAATGTCCTTTGATGCTTTGTCATTTATTAAATGTCATTTGATAATCAAAGTTTTTAATTTTGATAAAGTCCAACTTATTCTTTCTTTTGTTGTCTGTATTTGGTGTCACATCCAAGAAATCACTACCAAATCCACTGTCATGAAATTTTCCCATTTTCTTCTAAGTGTTTTATGGTTTTAGGTTTTACAGTTAGGTCTTATATCCATTTTGAGTTCATTTTTGTAAGGTAAGGGTCCAACTTCATTCTTTTTGCATATGGAGGTCCTGTTTTTCCAGCAACATTTGTTGAAAAGGCTAACCTATTATGAAATAAAATGATGTCAACTCATACAGAAAAAACAAAAAAGTCATAGCTGTCAGGGACTTTAAAAACAAGTTTGTATTGATCATGTAAAAATAAATATTTTTAATTTTAATATTTATGACTGATAGAGAAGAAGCCAGAACTAATAAATTTTTCAACCACCTGTCACATTCCAGGTACTTATATATACTATCTCATTATCCTCATAAACCTACATATAAGTGGCCAAAATAGTATTTGAACCCAGGTCTAACTGCAAAATCTTGTTCATCCCACTATAGCATGGGAACAATTTTTCACATATATATGCATATGGAGAAAACCAACTATTAAGCTTATTTTAAATATGAAATGTATCTCTAAAATACAACAAGTTAATTCCTTTTGGGGAGTCTTGCGAGGTTTGGGGATTTCTGTGTGAAAGCTATCCTTTCCAAATGACTGCAGTATTTAAAATGCAGAGTCTTCCTTATTTTTCCTCTTCTCAGATTACTCTGTGACCCTCTTTCTATTTCAGTACATCACTGGTAATAGCAGTAAACTGGAACTAATGGGAGAAAGAAAAGCTGAAACTGCAGTGTTGTAGTTAAAGGTGGGTAAACACAAGCCTTTCACTGGATGGAGCTTCAGAAGTACAGTCTTTGAACCTGGCTGCCAAGTGATCCCCTCTCAGTACATCCCTCAGTTTATCTTCAGCTCTTCAAGCACTAGCCGGTATTTATGGGCAAACCAAAACAAAATGAGTGTCCTTGATTTTTCAAGTACGGATACGGTTAGATGATTCTTTGAAATTGTTCTTATCAGTCTCTATTGATAAAAATTTTTAAGAGAAAAGGCAACTTGAGTAAAGATTTTGGTATCAGCCTTTTTCTGAGTGTAGCATTTATGTCAGTCTAGAGGGAAGAAATTGTTCGGAGGCTTGTCTTAAAAGGCTAGATAGGAACACGGTGCCATTTGGTGCTAGGCCCCACTGACAGATTTACTGCCTGCTTGGAGCCGAGGCCGCAGTGTGATGGAAGTGGCAGGTGAGGGCTGCAGAGAAGATTCCCATGCCCCATGCATATGTGGAACTGGCAACATCCAGGGTCATGGAGGGGCAGGCCTGTGTTTACAGTCAGGATTTGTTGGTGGGGGGAGTTATTTTTCTTTTATCCTTCACAGCAAAGAACTCTTCTCATTGCTTGGTGAGAACACATTCCCGAATGACCCAACCAAATATGAGCACTGGGGTTTTATGTGTAATGACTGTGTCTTACAAAAGTTCTGTAGCATGAAGAAAAAATCACAAATGCCCCCAAATTAAATTAACCTGTTTGACCCCCACCACGTTAAATAAAACGTATTTGATGTAAACTAATGGCCATTAGGGCATGGACAGATGTGTCTGCTTTCTGTAAGTAGCACTGATAATAGAAAATAATATGCAGAATTTCAGTCTCAGTTCATAATGGATTAAACTTCATTTTTTGAAGTAATAGTTAGAGACCTACTGCTAAAGTACAACCATGCCACCTTAATTTATTAGAAATTGAAAATGCATCCTGGTCCAGTGGAAAAAGGAAACATTTAAGGACGTAGAACTACAAATTCCAGAGCTCTCTGGCCAGAGGGATCATATGTAAGAGTAGAGAGACTGAAATTGGAGTTAATGTGTCGGCATAAAGAGAATTCTGCACAAACAGTGCTAGAAAGCACTTCGTTAAGTACATGTTGATATTCTGAGAGGCTCCGCATACTACTGACTTTCCTTTAAAAAGTTTTTTCAATCCAGTTAATTAGGGAGCATCTCTACTGCCCATCTGCTATTAAAACACATCTTCAAAATTGGTAATTTAAATATGAACACATATTTAAAATTGGTAATTTGGTAACTTAATTGGTAATTTTTGAAAAATAGAAATGCATCCAGTATTTTCAATTGGTAGCATGAACATCTTTATAATCATATGTTGTGTAGGTAGATGTAGTGGTAACTATTTGCCTCAGTTTTCTTATTTTAATATCAATTTTTGCTGCTGCACGGCATCGACCAGGTCTCATTCCTTCCCGAATCCTCAGGACCGGCCTGGAGCTTGGATCCCGTCCCGTAGGTTCTTCGTGAGTGTGATTCAGACCTTAGTGTGTTAAAAGGAAGCTTCTCGGGCATTCATGCTAGGGCATTTTGTTCTTTTGAGACTTGGACTCCCCATGCCGTTCTCACTTTGTGGCCCACTTAAAATGGTGATGTTTGCTTTGATGTGCCCAGAGAAGCAGCAGAAGTGACTTTACTCACTGGTAGGTAGATGTATTTGTGGTGGAGACAGGTTTGAAATCATCTGATGATGGTATTGAGTCTCTGACATAGTATTACAAGTTGATGAATTATGAAGAAACTCCAAGACAGAGGGAAAAGACCTTTTAGGGAAGCTACATTAACTTATCTTTCCTTTAGTATCTATAGTAAAATGCAAAAAGCACTCATACTATATAGCACTTTTCATACTGTATTGCATTTATCTGTTTATGAGTCTATATAATTTATTTATTTTTTTTTTACAAATTTTAAATGTAGTTGAATTTATTTATTTATTTATTTATTTGAGTCTGTCTCTCTTAATAGTGCGTGAGATTCACAAAGTCAGGTAACATGTCTAATTTATCTTCATACAGTATTTAGTGCTTATCACATAACAGATCCTCAATAATTATTAATTAAACTAGTAAAACAAATGAGTGAAAACAGAATATTCCTGTAGTGCATATTGGAAAACCACACATATATATGTCTGTGTGTGTGTATAGCTTTACTTATATATAATTTTATATAAATTTTAATATGGTGTGCATATACATTGGTATGTTTTTTTCTGCCTTAGTGCATAGTGGAATAACATTCAGTGTGATGGGCTAGTTGAAAAATTAAATGAAGGGAAATTCAAGATTAATTGTCCAAGAGTTTTGAGAGTTTATAAGGATGGCAACCCACTCCAATATTCTTGCCTGGAAAATTCCACAGACAGAGGAGTCTGGTGGGCTACAGTCCATGGGGTCATAAAAAAAGTCAAACCTTACTTACCGACTAAACAGCAACAATAACAGTAAAATGACACAAAGATTTTATAGCCCAATGTTTTTAGTGGTTCTCAGATTTTTGTTTATTCTCTATGGAAATATTGTTGCTTCCATATTTTAAAAAAATAATGGAAAAAAATCTAAATGTTATTCATGGAGAATGACTTCTCTATTTATGAAGGGAGAATGGAACTTATCTTAATGTGAGAAGAAGGCTCAAACCATCCTACATTTTGTTTTCTATGAAAGCTAACAGTATACGGCATCATTATATTGGCCTCCCCTTCCTCCTCCTGTATCCATGCATGCAAAAAGAACTCAACACTTAAAGCACAATAAGGGATGGTAGGTGATCTGACTAGGGTGAACTTATTCCTTAACAGGCTGCCTGTTGCTAAAAATGAGTTAAAGTTTGTTTGAGCATGTTTCAGAACCTGAAGAAATGGGATGTAACATGGCCTGGGAACTTGTCATAGACCTGGGGGGCATAGAGCTCCTATTCTGTCTTTATATTGGAGTGTAGTTGATGAACAGTGTTGTGTTAGTTTCAGGTCTACAGCAGAGTGATTCAGTTATGCATATACGTGTATCTAATCTTTTTCAAGTTCTTTTCCCATTTAAGTTGTTACATAATATTGAGCAGAGTTTCCCATGCTATACAGCACATCCTTGTTGGTCATCTGTTTTAAATATTGGAGTGTGTGCATGTCAATTCCAAATTCCTTAACTATCCCTCCCGTTGCCCTTCCCCACTGGTGACCATAAGTTTGCTCTCTAAGTCTGTGAGTCTGTTTCTCTTTCGTAAATAAGTTCATCTGTATCATTTTATTGTGTGACTCTTCTTTTAAGTATCATATGATACGTGTATGATACTTAAGTATCATACAATATTGATATCATCCAATATTGTCTTTCTCTTTCTGACTGACTTCACCATTCTTTATTGCACTATTTCAACTGCCTTGATGCTTTATCCGCTTGTCCTGAGCAAACTTGTTACCCATTTTCTGAAATGTATTTTTCTTATCACATTGCATTAGATCATTTTTCATAGTTTATTTCATAGTTTAAATAGTTTATTTGAGACATCATCAAAGTTACAAGTTGCTTATTTTTTTTTACAAGTTGCTTATTTTATCCATGTTAAGTTCAATGGAATGTTCATAATGTATATAGTTGGAATCACAACTGAAATTTTTTTTGCTGAAACTGTAAATTACTTCTGCATTGGAGCAATGCAATGTAAATATTTTATAGTAAGTGTGGATGCATGTTAATTTTTGGAATTCATTATGATAGCTACCAGTAATTTAAAGTCTTAACTATTATTAAATACTACCTACAACAACTCTCTGATTGTAGATATAGTTTCTACATGTAGAAACTGTAATTCCATAAAAGGGAGTACTGTGTGAATTTTGGAAATTGGAGTTCAATCCACTGTAGTTCCACTGAAAGTTTCCCTGTCCATCTTTCCCATTAAGGTGAACTAGTTTCCAAGGCCATTTTTTGTCTTTAATTACATCAATAGTCAATATCAATTTTCCAGTAAGATATCAAACAAATGTAGATGAGGACTCTCTTTTATGTCTGTTCATTAGCAAGATTTTGAGAGAGCTATTGAAGTTTCTTGGAAAAGGCCTTAAAGAATTTAATCTGTAATTTAAGATGTCTTTATTTCAGCAAGATCATGTGCATGCATATTGTCAGCATAATGGCTTGTAGTATTACTTTTATTTGCCTTCTTGCTAGCTAGTGATGTCATAAAGAATGCTATCTAGTTCTCAATACTACCTGATTTATACTTTACTATGCCCAAGTCTCCCATAGCATTTTTCTAATAAGCCAGAAGATAATAAGAAAGCTGACTCAGAAACTGATACTGGGTTCTGAACTAGAGCATGTCCTAATCACTTGACTTTTACAAGAAGATCTGCAGTAGAAATGTATTGATATGGTACCAGATTTTAGTGGAGGAGAAAAGTTAGTAAAATTCTTTATGATTTTTCATGTTGAACAATAATAATTTGGAGTAAAACTGAGCCAAGTAAAGCAGTTCTTCATGCGGACTAGAGTTTTGAGGGTGTTTTAAAGAGATCTGGGACACAGTTGTGAGTATATCACTTTCGTAAAATTTACTTGTCCAGGACCACCTAGGGATGCACAGTGTGTTATTTTGAGGGGAATTTGATGAAAATGGTTACTTTGACATTACTGTGGAAGACTATGTATGTAAATACTACAAATAATAATTCTATTTATTAAAGCACCATATTTCCTATGTCCTTCCTCCATTAAAATGTCAGTTTCACAGAGAATTACATTTTTTCACAGATTCCTTAAAAGTTTTAAATTAAGCTTTTGAATTTTGTCCTCAGAGCAGTCTTGGGACTGTAATTTTGGTGTTTTTATATTTAGTACTGGTGAACTAGATGAGAGGCAATGGAATTACAATTTGCCATCACTGCCAAAGCTTGACATCCCTTGATTTGTTTAAAGTATATAATTATTTACCAAATATTTCTATCAAATACTGAGTCC